CCATAGTGTCTCCTGTGGAATATAATGACCTTAATTCAGGGTGAGACAAAAAAAATTCACCATTAGAATTTTTCTTATTAATAAAAGGTTTTTACCCCAGCATGAAACTCTAGTTTGGATTAGTCAGCGGACCTAAACACTCAAAATAAATCTTCAAATTGAATTTTAAAAAAATCACCATTAAAATAGCTTTTAGTGTACCCTGGAAACTATAAGACATTAATCAAAGAAACTGAGGAAGACACAAATAAATAGAAATATTCTCCATGCTTATGGATTGCAAGAATTAATATTGTTAAAATGTCCATACTACCCAAAACAATCTACAGGTTTAGTGCAATCCCTATCAAAATTCCAATGGCATTTTTCACAGAAATAGTACAAACAATTCTAATATTTGTATGAATCCACAAATACCCTGAAGAGCCAAAGCAATTCAGAGAAATAGCAAAGCTGGAGGTATTAACACTCCTTGATTGCAAACTATATTTTAAAGGTATAGTAATTAAAACAGTGTGGTATTGGCATAAAAACAGACACATAGATCAATGGAACAGGATAGAGAACCCACAAATGACATACACATATATGGCCAATTAATTTACAACAAGGAAACCAAGAAAAGATAATGGAGAAAGGACAGTCTCTTCAATAAATTGTATTGGGAGAACTGGACAGCCACGTGTAAAAGAATGAAGCTGGACCACTGTCTAACACCATACACAAAAATTAACTCCAAATGGACTAAAGACTTGAATATAAGACCTGAAACCATACAACTCCTAGAGAAAAACAGTCAGTAAGCTTTTTGACATTAGTCTTGATCATGACTTTTTTGATTTGACACCAAAAATAAAAGTAGTAAAGGGAAAAATAAACAAGTGGGAGTATATCAAACTACAGAGTTTCTGCACAGCAAAGGAGATCGTCAGCAAAATGAAAAGGTAACCTGTTGAGTGGGAGAAAATATTTGTAAATCATACCTCTGATAATATCTGACAACTTCTCAATAGCAAAAGAACAAAAATTCAATTAAAAAATGGGCAGAGGATCTCAGTAGACATTTTTCCAAAGAGGACATATAGATGGCCAACAGGTAAATTAAAGGATGCTTAATATCACTAATTGTCAGGGAAATGCAAATCAAAAGCACAATGTGATATTACCTCATATCTGTTAGAGTAGCTAATATCAAAAGACAAGAAATATTAAGTGTTGTCAAGGATGTGGAGAAAAGGGAATCTTTGTGCACTGTTGGTGGGGATGTAAATTGGTGCAGCCACTATGGAAAAGAGTATGGAGGTTCCTCAAAAAATTGAAATTAGAACTACCATATGATCCAGCAATTCTACTTTCTGGGTATTTATTTGAAGAAAATAAAAACACTAATTCAGAAAGATTTGTGCACCCCCATGTTCATTGGAGCATTATTTACAATAGCTAAGACATGGAAGCAACCTAAATGTCCATTGATGGATGAATGGATAAAGAGTGTGTGTGTGAATATTATTCAGCCATTAAAAAAAAAATGGAATCCTTCCACTTGAATGGACTTTGAGGGCATCATGCTAAGCACAATAAGTCAGACAGGAGAAAAAAAAATACTATATGATCTCACTTATATGTGGAATCTTCAAAAAAGAAAAAAAGAATAGAGCTCATAGATGTAGGGAACAAATTGGTGGTTGCCTGAGATGGGGAAGCAAAAAGGTAAAATTGGTGGGTAGGTGAAGGAGGTACAAATTTCCAGTTATAAAATGAATGTCATGGGAATGTGTAGTGTACAGCATGATGACTGTGGTTAATAATACTGCAGTGTATATTTGGAAGTAGCTAAGAGGGTGAATCTTGAAAGTTCTCACCACATAAATTTTCTTTGTGATTATGGTGATGGACGTTAAGTGGACTTATTGTGGTGACTATTTTGTAATATACACAGATATCAAATCATTACACTATACACCTGAAACTTTAATGTTATATCATTTATACTTAATTTTTTTTAAAAAAAAAAGCTTTTATTAACAGCAGCTTTCTAAATTAATGTATATTGGTGGTATAAATGTATATTATTATGTATTGATGGAATTCAAATTGTAATTATAAAAAGGGGATTTTTAATTTATTTCAAATTTCTTGTGCTTGCATTTGTATTTTCTACATTCTGTCATTATTTTGGTGTATAATTTTTAACTTCTTCAATTATTTATACTTTATGTGTTGCTTTAGCCTTCAAACGTAATTGAAGGTCACTAACTTCTTGTTTCTACCAAAATATTTTATGTTATTTCAACTAATGAGGCATTGGGTATGTGGTGGCAGGATTACTAGCCTAGGAATGAGAAGGCTGAGTTCTAGTTCTTCTCATAAGACTGTTTTTCTCTGGTTTTATTAATTTAAAGTCTCAGTTTTCCCATCCTTTTAAATAAAAATACATAATAAGACTTCTGATCCAAACAAAATGGCATAGGTTTTTCTTCCCTTGCTTCTCCCCTGCTAAGTACAATTATAAAAACCAGAAATAACATAAGAGCCAATCAGGAAAACTCTGAAAGGTAGAAAGAAGACTGGCTCAGGACCCAGAACTAGCAGAACACAGCAGCAGGTTGTCTTACAGCCCTCTCACCCAGCAGAGGATGGGGACCCAGGCCTGGAGTTTCTTGACCTCCAACATAGCAACAGAAGGTATCCCAGCTAGGCTCATTCCTCTCCTAGACCAAATGGGAATCCTGCCGACAACACCAGGTGAGTCCAGCAAGATTGGCAGGAAGGAGTGGAAGTCCTACTGACAGTAATGACCACTAGGGTAGTATCTTCCCTCCTTTTCCATGAAGGGGAGGTGGGAGTAGGGGAGGAATCACATCACAGCTATCCTGGCCTGGGAAACACTCTTCATTTTTGAGGGTCAGATGCTTCCTTCCCCACTAAAGGCACACCTGGTGACCTAGCCATGGGAAATTCCTCGCATTCCTTCAGGCAACGCTGACTGAGAGCCTACTAAATTCCCACTTGAAGAAATGAGAAAAAGAAGAGCAAATAAACTCAAAGCATACAGAAGTAAGGAAAGAACAAAGATGAGAGCAGAAATCAATGACATTAATAAGAGTATGAAAATAGAGAAAAAATTAATGAGACAAAAGGTTGTCTCTTTGTCTCAAAAGTTCTTTGAAAAAGTCACTAAAGTTGATAAACCTTTGATAAAGACTAACAGAAGTAAAAAGACGGCACACATTACTAGTATCAGGAATGAAATAATGGATATTGTTACCCAAAAACTGGGTTCACCTCTTGGTGGGTATTGAGCCAAAAGACACAACCAAGCCAAAGACTGGAGAGAAGGAAGATTAGGAGAAGGAAGGATTTATTATTACTTGCAGCAAGTAAGGAGAATACCAGGGGTCTTTCCAAAAGCTAGGTCTCCCCAGCAGCAAAATTGGGGAAATTTTAAGGTAAGGATACATGCATATTCATGATGGGGCTTGGGCAGTCAACAGAGTCCAAGCTTTTAGTTGATTGAAGTCATGAGGGTCAGAAAGGGTCAACATCATCATCCCTTAGGTTCCAATCGATTTGGTGGTTGAGTGCTTCAGGCTAATCTTTTCATTGAAACGGAATTGGGAGGCTTTACAACTGATAATATTGTCTTTCCTGTTACTTCTCTTGCCTGATAAGAGTTTGTTTTTGCATTCTTCTATTCTCTTAGGGTCATTAATTACTGAGACCTCTTCAAGGGCAAGCACTGTGGCCAGGCTTAGGTCACAAAATGGCTTAGGCCAAAAATGGCTTCTCTTCTGTCAAGAAGCTTGGTTCTCTTTCTCTGGGAACCCTCTACTCTATCTACTTACAATGTTACTATACGTCTTCTGTAGTAAGAGAATGCTATGAACAACTTTACACTCATAAGCTTGACAGCTTAGAAGAAATAGACCAATTCCTTGAAAACAACAAACTAAAATTCAACCAAAATAAGATAGATAACACAATTAATCCTGTAGCCATGAAAGGAATGAATTCATAATTTTAAAGCTCCCAAAAAAGGAATCTCCAGGCCCATATGGTTTTACTGGAGAATTCAAAGAAGAATTAACATGAATTTTAACATAGTTTCTTCCGGAAAACAGAAAAGGAGAGAACTCTTCTCAAAAGAGTTCTGAAAAGCCAGTATTTACTCTAATACCCAAACAAGACAGTACAAAGAAAACTACAAACTAGTATCTCATGAACTTAGTTGAAAAAAATCCTTAACCAGATATTAGCAAAGCCAACAACATATAGAAAAGAAATATAAATTATGCCTTAAATGGACTTTATTCCATATCTCCAAAGCTGGTTCAGTATTAAAAATCAATCGGTATAATCCACCATTTTATAAGTGAAAGGCTTAATGTTTTCCCTCTAAGACTGAAAACAAGCTGTACTTTTGGGCATTTAACCCAGAGAAATGAGAACTTGGGTTCACAAAAACCTGTACATGAACATTTATAGCATCTTTATTCATAATAGCCCAAACTGGAAACATTCCAGATGTCCTTCAGTAGATAAATGGTTAAATGAACTAATACATCCATACCATGAAATACTTCCTCAGCAAAAAATGGGAACAAACTATTGATGCAAGCAGCAACTTAAGATGAATATCCAGAGAATTGTGTTGAGTCAGAAAAGTCAATCTCAAAAAATTGCATCCTCTGTAATTCCATTTATATTGCCTTCTTGAATTGACAACATTATTATAGAGATGGAGCACAAATTAGTGTGTTTGCCAGGGGTCAGAGAGGGGAACAGGGACCAAGGGAGATGGGTGTGACTATAAAGGAGCACCAGGGATCCCTGTGGCTATGGAAATGTACTGTATCTTTTTTTTTCATAGTCTTTGTCTCTATAGGTTACTACAAGATGCTGAATATAGTTTCCTGTGCTATACAGTAGAAACTTGTTGTTTATCTAGTTTATTTATAGTGGTTAGTATCTGCAAATCTCAAACTCCCAATTTATCCCTTAAAAAATATGGACACTTCACAAATTTGCGTGTCATCTTTTCGCAGGGGCCATGCTAGTCTTCTCTGTGTTGTTCCAATTGTAGTATGTTACCATTGGAGGAAACAAATTAAAGGGCACACAGGGTCTCTTTATTTTTTACAGTTGCATGTGAAGCTACATTTCAAAACTAAAAGTTTAATTAAAAAAAAAAAGCATAACTATACCTGCCCTTCCTGTGCCAGAGAGTCATGTTACGTATAGAAAGGGGTGCAATCTAAGATGCGCTTTGAGTGTCATGGTGGGTGCACATGGTAGCAATGAGCCATGCCTATTCGTATATCTGTTTTGATGTATATACTCAGTATTATAATCTGCCTTATCCAGAGCTATTTACAGTGGTTTTTATGTATAGTTATCTTTAATAATAACATTCATCTATCCATTCACCAGTGTTTTGGGGGGCTTTCTACGGTGATCTCCGTATTAGGAATAAAAGATTGGTGAAGTGTTACACAGAGCTCAGCCTTGGCACTTCCATTTCACGTGTGATTAGAGTTCATCATAGGATGAGTCTGGAGCTTGTGTTTGTTTTTAAAGCTTTGTTTTTACTGTAATATAGTATCAATTTTATACTTTTAAGTTTCAAGAGACTCGTAAAGATTCTGGTGTTTGGTTTTAGAACTTGGTTTTCAACGATTAAGTCATTTTTCCCCCACATTTGACTATCAATTTGGAAGGTACCTTAAAATTGTTGACTGAAGAAAAACACACAACCCAAAGGTTGCAGATTAAGTCTTGTTCAGGGACCTTACTGGGGACTGTAGCACAAGAGACAGCCTCTCAGCTCTGAAGAACTGTTCCAAAAAGGTAAAGGAGGAGCAATGATATATAGAAGTTTTTTACTGAAACATCAAAAGATGATCACAAAAAAACATACATCTCAAGTATGGGAAGATTTAGGAGTCTAGGCTCATTGAAATTATTCCTTAGATATGCAACTATCTAAGGCCCGTATCCAGAGCATGGAATGTTTCCTGTTTGTCTCTATCCTGAATTTGTCTTACAGTGCATTTTACACTTTAGTGGCATCTTAGGTTCAATGAGATCTGGTAATGATGTCTGAAACCAACTGTTCTTACAGTTTTCATCTGAAAATTTACCTGTCCTAAATGTATTAATAATTTTATTATTATTAAACAGTTTGGGGGGAGGATTTGGGGGGGTTGTGTTTTTGTTTTGTTTGTTTTGTTTTGTTTTGTTTTGTTTTGTTTTGTTTGAGAAACTGTTAACAGTTTGAGGATCTGATGGTAAATTCTGTGACATTCTATGGTGGTAATATATTACTTACATATACCCAAATACTGAAACCTCATTTCCCCTTATCTTGTTTTCCTTTGTTTTTCAAGTGTCAATATACAGTATCTGGTTTTACGACAAGAATGACTGTCACCGCATAGCCAAACTCATGGCCGAGTAAGTATTTCTATTACTCCATAGATTTAACTAATTATATATGGGAGATGAAAAAGACTCCCCCTCCTTTTTTTTTGTTACTAGAGTCTACTAACTCATGTATTTTCCCTCAATTTCCTATTTATTGTCAAAAATTTGAAAAAGAAAAGCTTAAAGAAATCTAAAATTATCTGTAATTCTACTAATACCAGTATTGTCATTTTTGTCTGTTTCATTCTAGTCTTTTTCTTTACATGTACTTTGGTTGAGGTGTGTGATTGTTTCTTACATCCAGAAAGAAAAATGCACATAAAAGCTGTGAGTTAATTTTTATTCAGTGGCCTTACTATAACCTGGGAGACAGCCTCTCAGATAGCTCTGAGGAACTACTGCTCCCAAGAAGTAAGGAAGGAGCCAGGATACACATGAACTTTTTTGATGAGAAAAACACCTAGTCAAACATCGAAAGGTTACTGCTAATAATAAAGGACAGATATCTCAAGTTAATGATTTTAGTGCTTTGCTTTGAAGATTCAGGGATCTGAGGTCATTGAAATCATTCCTTAGATATGCATCTTAATTATCTAAGGGCCAGTATATCCAAAGCACAGAATGTTTCCTACTTTTATGCATACTGAATTCCTCTCATTGTATTGTCAGTGGGCAACTGCAGTGGCCGATGGCTTGATCCTTGTAGAATTGGAATTGATGGGCAACACTTTTTTCTTTGCACTTACAAAAAAGGATCATACTGTACATCCTACTTTTCATGTCAACAGCATTTTTCCAGGGCATTATATAGTCTTCTCTAGTATTTATAATGACTACATTGTATCCAATCCTACAGACAGATCGTAACTTAACCAGAACCTTACTGTTAAACATATGGTTAGGGCCGTGGAGCTGCCTAGCTCCAGAGGGTATCCTGTACATCCAGTGCACAGCCTAACTGCCCCATGCAGTGCGTCTGACTTGGGTTCTTTCCAGATTTCCACCAGAGCAGGTGGAGCTGTGTTTAGTGGCTCGTCTCACACACATCCGTGACTGCTTTCTTTAAGTGAACTTTTTTTTTGTACCCAGGTTTTTTTTTATTGAGTTATAGTCATTTTACAATTTTGTGTCAAATTTCAGTGTAGAGCACAATTTTTCAGTTATACGTGAACATACATATATTCATTGTCACATTTTTTTCCGCTGTGATCTACCACAAGATCTTGTATATAGTTCCCTGTGCTATACAGTATTATCTCGTAAGTGAACTTATTTTTGATGCAGATTCTAGGTTTAGTAATCCCCAATCATCTAATGGATTATGTTCCAATTGAGTTTTTCTAAATCAGAATCTTGAAATTTGGAAAGTTAATTGTCATTGGATTGATGTTATAAGGGATGGTTCAGGTTCATTGTCCTTTCTCAGAGTGGCCCACAGAAGCACCCATCCCCATCTCCCACCCCTGTGGCTTATCTGTATTGCTGGTACTGCCAGTCTGCAGTCCAGTTTCTGGGAGCCCAGGACACTTATATGCTAGAGGGGCCCTGAGGTGCTACAATGGGCAGTGAGTTCTGGTGCACTTATGTTTCCTTTGCAGTTTTTGCCTGAATCACCTCAGAAATGCGGACCTTTCTTCCCCTTCTGTCAAATCAAGATTCCCTTCGCTTACAAGGTTTTTACCTACATGTTGGGAGAAAACAGTCTTTTTTTTTTTTTTAACAGCGTAATTTTTAACTAGTTCCTACGGAAGTGTAAATAAATGATTAGGCCCCAAATCTCAGTTCCAGGTATTTTTGCATTTTAAAAGATGTGTACATGACTACAACCAGGTTTTAGTCCCGAACTGCTCATATGTCTCAGTTGGATGTTCATCAGCCTCCTGCTTTGTTTGCTCTGGCTGTGCGCTCACTGGCAGGCCAGGTTTATTACTGTGTGCACCCGGAGGACATTGTTTCATGTGAATTTGTACTGTTTATTTGAAAATGTATTGGCTCTCTAGAACCAGACTTTCTTTTTAGAAGATTTCTCTAAAAAAGATAAAAATTACTTCTTTACAAAGACATTTATTTGCTGGCTGCTTTTTTGAAAGTGACAGCAGAGGCAGCTTACTTCTGATTACACAGATTACTTCTGAAGACACAGATTTGTTGAATCTTGGTTATCCTGAAATCCAGAATATTTTTCTTAAATATCTAAACTTTGGAGTATATTAATATATAGACTTTCTCCTGCAGATTGAGAGCTTTTGGAACCCAAATGAGAAAATATGGTAACAGCTATTCACAGGAAACTATTCTGAGTTTTTTTCTCTATCAGGACAGGTGGTACCCCTATGGCAAGGCTTCAGATGGTAAATGAAGCAGAAATCTGAAAACCTATGTGAAAATATTGTATTGAACCTAGAAATAGGATGAGAAATTAGAAACAGGAAGCAGAGAGGAAAAAGTAGGGCATTCAGGATTCCTTCACTAGAAATGCTCAAAAAAGAGACATTTGCTTAAGCTTTTAGCTTGTATTACTAGAAGCAGGGGTGGTATTGAAAGTGATTAACAAATGCCCTATGTAAGTGTTGATAGTGAGTTTTCAAGTGTCTGGCCTATTTATGGCAGAAGAGAATACCTAATATGTTAACATTAACTTTGTGATAAATGACATTCTGGTCACCAAAGATAAAAACATGTACTTTATCTTTCTTTGCTCTGACTTTGCCTGCATACAGCTTCTGTTTGCTGCATATTTCAGAATATTACCTCTGTTAACCTGAAATACAGGCAAAATTGTTTTTGGCACATTGTGTGTCTAAATGAATGTGCCTGTCATTGCCCGTTCTGTTAAATTTAGTTCTTCCCATCACTGTTCTGACAGCTGCAATAAAATAAAAATTCTCAAAATAAAAAATCGATTTATTCCAAAAGGTATTAATAAGAACTGAGAAGCTATATAGGAGAACAAGCAAACTTCTAGATCTGTACTTTATCTAAATTTGGAAATTCTCTTTGATCAGTGGCAAAGTTGAAAATCCACTAAACTTGGAAAATGTTGACTCTCCTAAAAGAGGAAATTCAGTCTGCCAGAAACTTATTTTAACAAGAACTTATTTGAATGTTTGCCTATACATAGACTATAAAATTTGGAGAACTCATGGAAGTGAGCTTTATTCCTGATCTTACAGAAGTCTTAGGGACGTATTTAGGGATTCAAGAGGAAGGAAGAGAGGCAAGATTACTCTTCACAGGGTGTGAATTGGAAGAGGCCTTAAAGTCCAAGCCTGGCTCGTGCTACAGTCCCTTCCATGCCACCCAAACAGTTTCTGCTTTCAGTAGTGGTGAGCTTTTTAAGGTGGCCTCTTCCTGAGTGAATAGCAGTGATTATTAGAAATGTTTTTCTTTTAAACCACAATCACAGATCCAGTCCAGGTCAGGGGAGAGGTGAATACCAACATGGGCAAGCCAGGCAGCATGGCAGGTGGTGAGTAGAAACAGGCTGTGTGACCCATCCTTGATGAAGGTGGGTGCAGGTTGATATGGCCTGTAACTGAACATTAAATAATAAGCCATTTTAATAGTACTCTTTTTTTCTAATTATTAAAGGGGAGTGCCTGTTAATTATGGAAAATGAAGAGAAGTACAAAAAAATGAAAGTGAAATTGCTTGTAATCTACCATCAAAAGATAACCAGTG